TTGTTTGCCCTCTGCTGCTGTCAAAACAGGATTCTGCAGGAAGATATGGTCGACTGACCATTCTCAGTGTCGGCCGACTAAATATCTTTGGCTGAGAGCTATACCAATGGTCGATGACCACTTTCCCATGGCCGGTGACCATTCCTCATGGCCGGTGGCATCCTACGGTGTTCATAGAGTGTTCCTTGGGATTTGTGCAATTTTCAGAGGCATAAAACAGTGAAAACAGAGGCAACTTATGCATGGTGGTGGATTTCCTAGCGGAGCCGAGCATGCATGCATTGGACCCTCTTCTCGAGGCTGTTTTACCGCTTTATTAGCTTAGTTAATTTGCTTAACTAGTTAAGTGGTCTGTAACTATTTAATTAGCTTGTTAGTTAATTAAATTTGTATTATTCTTTTGGTCCCTCCGAGAGAGGGCGAATTGTGTAACAAGCGTGCGTGTGCGTGTGTGTGATGCATGTCTTCCAACTCCCACTTCTTTCTCCCCTTTACTTACTTGCTTTTGGTGGCTAGTATTAGGACATGTTTTGATTAGCACATTTATGATAGCATGTTTGTATCCATTCATTTGTATTGCATGCACCGGGCTAAGTGCATCATACTAATTGCATAGTATTTCAAATCTAACTTGAATACATGTTATCTGTTGCATTTCACATGCCATCCATAGATTAGCCGAGCCTATTCTAGCTGCATTTTGCCAGCGATGCATTAGCTATCTTAACATGAACTTAGATCATACATTTGATTACTAACATGTTCCTTGTTTTAGCTTGGAGTACTAGGTGAGTGTTTATGCTTTAGCATCTCGCATGAGTGTCAATGTTAACATGAAAGCATGCTTGCCATGAGGCTAATCGCTTAGTTGATTTACTGCCTGAATGCCTGTGGGTGAAGGTTGAATTGTTTGAATTGGAATAATTCATTGAAATCCGTATTTTAGCCTACTTGCGAGTAGCAAACCTCAAATCATTTCCAAACAACGGATATGCGATGCTTTGTTCCAAATTAGGCAATCTAGTCTATACTTTTGTGTTGTGCGCATCACATAATAAGATTAGCTAATTAATCAGATTAAGAATGCATAATGTTTTCAAAACTAGATATCATGGTTAGTAGAGGTCGATCTTTGATCGGGCGAGCGAGGGTGCTCATAGCTGACCTTCCCCAATCGTATCCAAGTTCCTGAGCCAAGGCAACTTTGGTAATGACGGACACGTGGCCTTAGGCAAACAAGTCAGGGTTTCCTAAATTCCCCTATAAAAAATATTTAGGTGGCGACTCTGTATCTGGCAAAGCAGTCCATATTTGGCACTTCTTTCTAAAAATCAGTTTTCTAAAACGATTTGCCGAATTTGGACTCTTTGGTGATTTATTAGTCTTGCATTGCACTTTGCAAGATCAGATTAAGAACCGTGACAAAACGAGTCCGAACTGTAGAAGAGCACAGAGCCCGAGGACGCGTCCACAAAGGTTTTAACCGAGTTATCTTGGACTTCTAATGCGCTTCACGCGAAAGGAGGAAGCGTGGTGTAACCAACAGGCATGCCTAATTGTATTTCATACAGAGAGAGAGAAGGTTTTAACCGAGTAAACTTGAAATCCTAACGCGTTTTACACAAAATAAGGAAAGGTAGTGTAACCAATAGGCGTACAAGTAGTGCAATAGATCCACGAGGGCGGTTGGATCGTACGATATATACACAAGAACGATGCAATCGTGTGATGGATGCACGAGAACAGTGTGAACGTGCGATGGATGCACGAGAATGGTGTGATCATGTGATGGATGCACGAGAACGGTACAATCGTGCGATGGATGCACATGAACAGTGCGATCGTGCGATGGATGCATTTTCCATCATTTTTAATTTTTTTTTTCATTTTTTTCATTTTATATAGACATTGGCCATGTTTGGTATAGTTGTTAAAACAGATTGTAGATTAGATCTTAATATATTATAGATTATGACTTTAATCAGAAGTTGTTAATTTGCTTGGTGTAACTATTGGATTATAGATTTAAGTTGCTAAGTAGTGTTTGTTAAATAAGCTGTGAAGTAGTTTTTTTAATTAACTTTTATTTTTTGTTATTTACTACTTGTCTACATTTCTCATAAAAAAAAAAAATAATCTACAGTCCATTTGGGTTTTTTTTCTATTTTTAAAAAAAATAAAATAAAAAATCTAAGAGTATAACCGTAAATTAACATGTTCACAGCAGAAATTGATAATCAGAAGTAAGGGGTGAGCAGCTTCTCAGAATTAGCTTTTTGAAGTTAAAATAAGTTGTTAGAATTAGAAGCTGTTTGAAATAAGTTTAACCAAACAATCCAAAATAGCTTTTCCAAAACTAAAAGTTATACGGTGGCTAAAAAAAGCACAAACAAACACCCCCATTATATACACACAACATACATCAGTATACATATACATATATATATATATGTGTGTGTGTGTGTGTGTTTATGACTATAGACATACCATACATATATGTATGAACTATATACAAAATATGTACATATACCTATACAAACAAAATATATACATATGTAGATACATACATGTACATATATCACATACGTATACAAACTATATACATATATACATACACATATACAGACAAAATATAAACATATGCAGATGAATATAAATACGTATATATACGGACACATATATATACAAACTATATACATTTATATATATATGCGTATATATATACGCATATCATATATACACAAACCATACATATATATTATATATGTATATGTATACATACATATAAAAATATACTCTCTTCCCTTTCCTTATTCTTATCTCTCTTTTCTTCTTTCGTCTTCCGTCTTCTTCGAGCGCTGTGCCTGGCATGCGATTTCAACAATCGCGATGCCTGACCGACAACAGTTGGACTGACCCAAATCCTTCAACGATCGCCTCGACCTTCACCCTTTGTCTTCTTCTTCTACTTCATCTTCTTCATTTACTATAACAAAACTGATTTTTTACGGCACCATATTAACGACATGCAAGAAATGCACGTCGTAGTTTCTCACTTTCACGACTTGCTTTATTTGCACGTCATAAATAAATTTTCAACCACGGCGTGTCTATTGCGTATGCCGTGAATGATAGTAACAATGATTTTTTTACGGCTTGCAATGTTAAATGTTTAATTTCAACAATAAATAATTTCATTTATTTAAATTATGTTTTATTTAAACATTTAAATATTTGTACATCAACATGTTTATTAAATTATTTCAACATCTGTACATCAACATGTATATTTATTTAACATCTATTAAATTATGTTTTAATACGTCAACATTTGATTACATCTACATTTGTTAATTGTTAATTATATCAACATTTGTTAATTGTTTAAACATAATCTGTACATCAAAATAATTTCAATGTTAATTGTTTAAATAAAAATTTAAACATTTAACCATTAGTATGTTTAATTTCAACAATAAATTTTTATTTGTTTAAATAAAAATAATCTATACCAGTCAAATTTTTTTTATCAATATTAGTATGTTTAAATATCTTTAAACAAAATTTAACCATTAGTATGTTTAATGTTTACTAAAAATAATTAAAATATTAAAGATATGTTTAATATTGCTATTACATAGTAAACAATTGAAAAAGGGTAAAATAGTCTTTTGTTCATTTATCCTATCCAGTCCGTCCAACCAAACGTTGGATTCACTGAAAATAGTCCTATCCAGACATCTAATCCCATGAAAAAACAAACACAAGATACATATCCAATCCGACCAAATAGTCCGGAGATTCACAGTCCCAAAACTCAAGTCCGATAGATTCTAATCCCCTTTTCCAGTCCGTCCAATCAAGCACGCCCTAAACAGACACTTCAATCTGGTTCATTCTAGAGACGGTTCAAAGTCGAGAAGAGAGGGAGAAGAGAGAGGGTTCGAAGACAGATTTTGGGCACTTCAATCAGGTTCATTCTAGAGACACTCTCCTCCTCCTTTCGGCAGGATCGAATCTCTCTCTCTCTCTCTCACATTGCGATTGAAGGTAAAGCTTGAATACGTCTTTCATTAGATTGGAGTTTATCATATTTTTTCTCCCTCTTTTCTTTTTTTTTTTTTTTTTTTTGGGGTTTTCTCCACATAGTTTACTTTAGATTCTTTGAGGGTTTTGCTTGAATGATTCATACACTTAATTTTCTCTCTTGAATAAGCCATTCTCGTTCTCCGTTTCCTCTGTGGTTTAGTCAAAATGCCTTTTTGTTTGATTCTTTCTCAGATTGCTGAATATTTAGCGTTCACAACCTTATGTTCTTGCTTTCTAGGGTTTTGGATTTTTGGAACTCTCATTTGAGTATTTTGATACTTATTTGACAAATAGTGATAGATTTGGGGCTCAGTAGATCCTTAGAATTTGATATTTGATTCTCTTATAGTTTGATCGGGAAAAAAAAAAAGCCCCCCCCCTTTTTTTTTTCCCTTTTTTGTAGTTATAGTTTGGTTGATCTCTTAGGTTCTAGCTCTGTCTGTGTTGCTTGTTTGTAATGGCGGTATGTGAGACATTGATGTTACTTCCAACATTTCAATCACTCGTTGGAGACTTCAACCTGGTTCGGCGACGACAACAATCCACGGTACAATCTCATCTTTTCTCTTCTCTTCTCTTCTCTCCTCTTCTTTTTGCATTTTGTTGCTTTTAAAGACCCATGTACTGTTCAATGTATCCACAGTGAATTTTAAAGAAAGAAAGGAAGACACAGAGAGTGTGTTTGGATTATGGATTCTGGGTCCCTGTTCTTTCAATTATCCAATGTTTGTTTGCTTTTCATGCGCACTGAATGTACATTGAGCTTACCTTTTGGTCATCATTCAACTAGGGAATTCTCTGAAATGAGGCTCAGCTATCCTGTCGGGGCTCTCTGTTTATTGGTTTTGACATGCTCTTTAGTTGCTAAAATAATTACCTATTAAATCAATTTATTTATTTATTTTTATTTTTATTTTTTTTGTGCAGATTGCTTGCTTATTCCATCCTAAGTACAAGCACTCCAAGTCCAAATCATATCACAAAATTGGTACATTTCTTATTCTATTTTCTTTGATTTTTGTAATGTTGATAAATGCTTGGCCTGGACATTATTGAGTCCCAACTCAAATTGTTTAACATAAGAAAAGCATGTGACATTTAGAGATTATTATCATATTTAGGCTGAAATAGCTTTTGTTGATTTGTGATTCAGGAAAATCTATTGCAATACATGATGGCCCTGTTTGATTCACAACACTAATAGTGAAGTATTAATAATCCTATCAAATTAGTGTGGTATTAACTATCCCATCTCTACCCCATTACTAATAATCCTACAAATTTGTTCGATTAATTATCCATTGGATTAATAATCAAAAACCAAAATGTCAAAACAAACATAGGATGATTGGGCCCACGGATTAATAATCCCAATCCCATGCTTTAATCCTTCCAATCAAACATGCCATATGGATCTTGATCAGTTTCTGGCTTCCTTAGTCAAGATAATGTGAAAGTCGGCAGTCTTGTGGTCAAAGATCAAGTGAGTTCCTGTTTTGTTTTGAATTCTAATGTGGAATTGGTTTTCCACTCTCTGCCTTCGGTGATAGTCACACATGCTTTATTTTTCAGGTGTTCATGGAGGCTACAAAAGAAGGATCTCTTTTATTTGTAGTGGCAAAGTTTGATGGACTACTTGGGTTCGGCTTCCAGGGAATTTCAGTTGGGGTTGTGGTGCCACTCTGGTATTATTTTGTGAAGTTTGTTGCTTTATATTGGATAGTAACTATTGTATTTGTCAGAGTTCTTTTTCTATCCAGTTTTATATTGTGATTTATTTATTTTTATATTTTTCAGAAACTGGATGGTTAGCATCATATAATAGTGGAGATATTTATTAGAGATATTTTAGGGGCATGCTTATATCACACTTGGAATTCTCTATCTTTCATATGCATTCCTGTTTTTGGGTTCCGAGCTGCTTGGTTTTCTCACCTACTTCTGATTCACCATTGTCTTCTACCTATATTTTAATGGAGATATTTATTTTGCTTTCCTAATTTAGTACTTGTCACTAGGAGAGCATTATTCGGTTTCTATAGTTCATTATCTGTTAATTTGAGGTCATATCATTTTGTGAGGTCTCAAATTCTGTTATTTATTTTAATGGCTTGGCTGACAATTGTAAGCATCCTAATATCAGGCCAACAGGTTCTATTTCCAGTACTGAACTTATTGAACCATGAAACAATGATCTTGATGGTTAAATTTATCATGGTATGGTAAAATAGCAGCATGAATAAACATTTCATTCCTCCAAAGCGTATAACATGATTATAAATATAGAGTTGCAATGAACATGTCTTCTGGGAAAATTAAGTCTTATCAATGCAATATTCACCGTGAATTGTTACTCATAATGTTGATGTACATTTTAGAATTATTGTTGGCACCACAGTTGATAAGGTCAACTTAAGGTTAGTAAGTGTATTTGAGCAAATGGGTGGGTCCCTAAGTTTTAAGTTCGGTTCTTAGGTCTCGTTTGGGAACCCTCCATTTTAGCTAAAAAGTCAAAAAGTTACTAAATTAGCCAAAAAGCCAACAACCCATGGCAAAAAGTCAGAGATTCTCTTTTCTCTCTACTTTTTGCACATCTTTTCGTAAAAAGCCAAAAAGTCATCCCAAACATACTAGTTTTTTTTAACTCATATTTTAACCAAATAGTCAAAAAGTTACTAAATTAGCCTATTCCCAAACGAGGCCTTAGTAGAGATTTTGGAACTTTTCTTCTAATACACAGAATCTATGAAAGAATTGTCATAGGCTTATAACAGTTAGATGGGAGCAGCCATAGGGTGTTTTTTCAGGAGCTTTTGGATTTGCTTAATTCATTAACATAATGGAAAATAAATTCAAAGAAAATAAGGGGTGACATTAATATTATTGGCAAGGTTTTAGGCTGGCCTTCAATTTTTTATGTTCTTTTTGAAAACCATATGTAGCTGACTTGAATAACTTTATGATTAAAAAATATCTAAGTTTGTTGAATAGGTTCTTCCTTTGTTTTCCTACAAGAAACTTTGGTGTGGTTCGAGATAGAAGTGCCTTTTAATTCTACATTTCCTTGTCTTAGTAAGAAGATGAACCTGTAAGGGATGTAGGACAGTTTTTATTTTTATTTTTATTTTTTTATATAAATCTTAAGCAAGCCTTCTTCAAAGGAGTCTGTCATTGCTAATGAAGTTACTATATTGTGCCATACTCTTTAAATATTTGTAGTTTTTTGAGGCATAGATGTTTAATTATCATTAAGGGAAAGAAAATATACATACTTTTTATATCACTAAAATTGTGAGATTGGTTGCAATCGTTAATTGTACATTTTTGAATGTCCACTTAAATTGGTCAATCTAAACTGATAATCCAAGTGAGTGGTATTCGCAATCAATTTGTTGACTTGTTCTATCTCACATACCATTTACTTAAAGCTGCCACTTGTAGAAATTAATTATTTAGGTATAAATACACAAAAACAAATATACAAGTTAACATAAGCATCATATACTCTTTTTCTTAGTCCTTTGTCGAGTAAATTTGAGTTGTAACTTGTAAGGGTTTAAGTGACGGTTGAAAATACACTATTGTTTCAAAATCATGATTGAGCATCAAAATATCAGAATAAAGTGCACCAGTGTTTAAATAAAGTTACTGAGGAATTGCTGTATCGAAGATAGTCTCACTATTGTACATCACAATAATGAATATATATATATATATATATATATTTTCCTGGAAATGCTCTTCTTATGTTACCTCAAAATTAACATCCTGTCTTTTTATCATGATGACAGTGAGAAGACAAGGATGTTACTGACAAGTGCTGCATTTGTCCATTTGAAGAAATCTGACTTTTCTAAGCACACATGGAACCTTTCTCCTGCAAGTCCTTCTATTTTGCTTTCAGGACTTGCTGGTTGGTTATTTGAAATATGTAGTCTATTTGATCTAGCTTGAGTTTATTTACATTGTTGTACTTTGTCTTCACCTGTTTGATCATTATCCTACATGTTTCTCCTTGCGTTATGCATTTGCTTTTAAAAACTTTGCCTACCATTGAAAGTGTTTGTCCAACCCTCACCGTATATTTATTTATGTGGAAAGTGCCTAACTGTTTGTTTTACCTTAATTGTCCTCATAACTGATTGGTACATTTTCTCCATTCTATTTGGATAATTGATACATTTTCTGTGTTCTATTTGAACGTGCAGTTTGATGTCACTTTTCCAGCCCTTCCATGTTCTATACTCAGTCTTGATGCCATGGATATCAGCGGGGAGCAACATCTAGACGTTGTATGTACTGCAAAGAAATATTGCATATGTTTTACGTGAAATATTCACTTTAATCTTGTCACGCGATTCTTTCTTCTTTTTTCAAAATTAAATGCCATAAATGTACAGGTTCTCCACTATCAGAGCTTTCACCATGCTGACACTTTTTGTCCTGTTGTCTTGCACAAAAAATGGTTTCATTGTCCTGAGTGCTAAATATTTGGATACTGATAGTAATATGTACACCATGCTTCTGTGAAGTTACAAGATTAATGTAATATAGAATATAATGCTAATAGAATAAATATGGAAGCATGGCAAGAGTAAGAAGAATTTAGCAAGGCACAAATGAAGGACTGTTAAAAATTTCCGTCACAATTTTAACCTGAACTGATCCAAACCCTCCCACTTACATTGAGTGACATTTAATTTTATCCCTGCTTGCAGAAACACGACATTGTCAAGAAAAGACTTGATAAACATGGTAATGTAATAGAAGAAAGGCAGGATGGTATTGGTGCTCCCAAGGTCAGTAATAAGATTGTTCTTGAAATCCAACAATTGTTTACATCTGTATATTGAATATATATATACATATTTTTTTTTTCCTTTTATGGTTTTTTAGAGTGGGAGGAGGGGGGGACTTACAATGATGAAAATTGAACCCTTGACACACCGCTCCCCATTAGATACCATGTTACGATGACTTTGGCACATGAGGAATACCTATTCCCTCATTATATGCCTATATATAGCATTAACCACGAATGGCATTTCAAAACTCATAATAGGTTCTAATGGTAGAAAGGGGGCATGTTTTGGTGGAGACCATATGTTTATTGCAAACCTTGTTGATTTTGTTGTGGAGCAGACTGCCTCTAACTCATTCATAATTTGATGTTTTATAATGAAATCCTCTCCCTTTTTTGCCCCGTGAGCAATTTTTCTGCTCTTTTTTTTTTTTTTTTGGTTATGTTCTGTTTTTTTCTCAGATTTTCTTTCTCTTCTGACTTTTTTATCAATGGCACAGATTGAAAAGCCTTTACAAAGACATGGTGGGAGGCTTGAACACAATGAGACATATTGTGGTTCATGCTATGGTGCGGAAGTGGTATGTTTTTCTATGGCCTTGTGTGTCATTGCTAAGTTGAATATTTAATTCTGAAGCTTATACAAGAAATTTTCATAAGAGTCATGGATTATTGAGCTGGACATATTCAGTTCGTTTCTGTGTCTATTTAATTTGGAAGAAACATCTTCTTACTTTGGAGCAATTTTGAATAATTATTAAGAAACACAGATATATAAACAGGATACAGATACAACACGATATAGGCATGTCAAATGTAGGACACAGGCTTTGGTACAACTAAATATATATTTACAACAATAGAGCCTGGAAAATTTCCATAATTTTAACATTTACCTCCTTGGTTCAAGTTATGACAAAAGTCTTGGGTTTATTATATATCCAGGTAAATTGCTCTTGTTAGTTTAGTTATTAAGCATTACCGTTAAATTTATTATTTATTTTTGTACACTGGTTTTGACATTCATTATATTATGTTGTGCAAACTCAACCCATACAGTGAAAGAAGTTTCTGTTTCTGCTGCTTATCGATTTTCCCCAATTCTTGCTATTTTGCTGTCAGATGATGATTGTTGCAACTCTTGTGATGAAATTCGTGAATTATATAGAAAGAAAGGTGATAAGTGATCTCTGTATGACATGAGAACTGCAATATGGTGATAAGTGAAATCAAAATGACAAAATGACTGATCAAAATATGATTTTATCTCCGGAATTTTGAAATATCTTTCACCCGCTTTCTTCCCTATCTAGGAACTTTCTTTGTCTCTCTAGATGGATTAAAGGCTCTTAATGACCATTACCAACATATTTGGTTCAACCTCCATTTTAATTTTTTCTACCAAAATTTGAGTGTTTAACGAAGGCCAAATTAGCTTTTATAATATTATTTATTGGCTTCTCAAAAAGGAATTTCCTTTTCTACTTCTCATTCCAAGATTTTGTTTATTACTTTTGATAAGAATGAGAATGTTTGGTTAAAAGTTGGTCTAAGAAGGTGGTGCACGTGTACAGTGAGTTTTGTCTTCTTACTAGTGTGTAGCTCTTCCTGAAGGTCACATTTTTGTAGTTTCTCAAATGGACAATTATATGTTAGTAATGGTTCATGTTATTTAGATGTTGCTCAATGTGACCTTGGATACATGAAGTACCCCTGCCAATTCATTTGGGAAATCACAAGTTTATGCTATATGTATATTTTTGTTGTAAAATATTACAGCTTTTATAGCTACTATAACTGGCAATGTGATCTGATGATGGTAATGTGTAGGAACCAATTCCTGTCACTCAACTTGTAACGAAAACTGCTTTTGTTATGTAGGAGTTCACATAGTCGGGGTAAGTGCTTTCTATCCGTTTACATCTCATATTGTTTATCTTCTTGGCTAGAAATCTTGACTATTGTTAACTTAAATTTCTCAGAATTGTAACATGTGAGGTGCATTTGCCTAACAGATGGTTTAGATGATGAGTATGACCCCAATAGTAGCAGTGACGATGATGATAGTGATGGCTAGTTTTTGAGGACTTTGATGAATAGATTTCTATAATCTTTGAATAGTTTTGGATTTTGTTTACAAACTTGTATATGATACAATTTTGGATGGTTTTTAACTTTTTTGTTGAATTTAGAACTTAAGGATAGTCTTTTTGGGTTGTTTTGAACTTCTGGTTAATTTTTGGATGTTTGGAATGTATTGACAATTTTTGAATGTTCATAATTTATGGATGTAGTTTATTTTTTATGCTTGAAATAATATTTTGATGGTTGATTGATATTTTGTGAAGCTTGTTTGTAATGTTTGTTAGATTATACAAAACAGGTTAAAATAGAACCTGTTGAATTAAAAAAAACATAAAATAATGCACATTCTACGGCAAGCAAATTAGGTCATTATATGAAATATTCCATGACATTCCATGTACGTCGTGGTATGTTCTATTTATCTACGGCAGGCTGAGTAAGTCGTATTATCTATTTTACGGCCCGCAATTAGTGTTGTTTGTCTCACCAATTAACGATATGCAAAAGTAGTCGTAGAAAAAGTAACGATGCATAAAATCTGCCATTAAATAGTTTTTAATGGCGTACTATAACATGTCGTAGAAAAAGTAACAACGATGCATAAAATTTGTCGTTAAATAGTTTTTAACGGCATACGAAGTATGTTGTTGAAAGTGAATTGACTTTCCATGACTGGTCATAATATGACGTGCGTCTGCACGTCGTAGAAAGGCTTTTACGACGTGCATTGCGTGCCGTAAAAGCCCTTTTTTGTTGGATGGTCTACGAGTGAGGGGCAAACCAGAAAACTACAAAACATCTCTTTGCCATTACTTTGCAAACTCTCTTTGGCATTATTCTCCTCTGACATGTCTCTTTCTTTTTTCCCAGGCCTTAATGATTCCTTGATAGAGATTGCTGATACCAGCTCATTTAAGCCTCGATAGAGTGCCCCTACCCTTACCTATGTTTTCAGTTTCCCTGCGATGTCAGTCGAGCAAATGATGACAGTGCAGTTTGACATCGATACCAACTCTTACACATTGAAATCTTGTCGGGAGACCATGACTGCGGTCTCTAATTTGTCCCGCCAATATAAAGCAGGACAAGCGAGGTGCATCGGTTAAATGCACAATTCTCCCTCTATCAACTTATGAACCAAGATGCCCGAAAGGAGATTAGCAAATTGAAAAAACAAAATAAAGAGATGAAATGATAGACAACCTCTGTGCCCCGATTAGGAACTTCTCGGTGCTCTTCATCTGATGGCCAGCGGGGAGTAATATCTTTCGGAAGCTCTACAAATGCTGAGGTAGAGTTTTCAAGGGCTTCCCATGAGTAACGATGCAATGAGGTGGTGAAACTATCTGTAAAAGGACGTCTGCCTGCAGCCTTTGCTATCGGAAACACAGGTCGCCAAAAATTGAGAACAATGCTTACTTTCTATTTGTCTTCTTTCTTTTTTTTTTTTTTTTTTGGCCTTTTTTTTCTTCTTCTAAGAGTTGGGAACCTATAGCTTAAACTTTCTTTTGTACAACTTTGATTGCGGTTGATCTATGAAGTTAATAAAAGAGTTTGTTTTGCAAATCCAAATGGCATGAATGACAACACTTGTGCATGAAAAACATTTTGTTTCGAATTTTGAAATTGAGAATGGTTACATTTTAATGACATCTAAATTGGATGATGAGCCTATAACTGACCAAAATACAAAATACAACTCAATGAAACAAAAACAAAGCAAAAACAACCTAAACACAACTATTGACACTTGCTGGAATGGAAAGGACACAAAACTTCATCGCGGGAACGGTTATTAATACCGTAGGCGTGACCAAGTAAAACAATCACAGGCACAATTTAGAATATTGCGGGCGCGACGTCGTAATACAAAATTCAAAACAAAAACCATTGTCGAACGACTGCCCAAACGACTGGCCAATTGAAAGAGGATTGAAAAAACATAGGTTAGTGCAACCTTTGTGATAACCCTGTTCTGTATTATGCTAATTGGTCCTTATAATGAATGTGATTATGTGTTTGATATGATTCTGTGTGCCATTTATATGAAAATATGTGGTTTTGAATTTCTATCTGTTCACCGTAGGAATATCTGTTTGATTATCTGCTTTGGAATTTAAACTGAAGTTCCTATCAGCCACAGAAACCGAAATTGACTGCGCCATTGTGATTGGCGTAGTTTTTAGAGCCTACGGTGAAATTTAATTGAAAATTGATTCGGATCAAATTAATTAGATTAAATTAATGGGTTAGTGCTCAATTATTTAAATATTAATGAAATGTGATTAGAGGGGCCTATATATGAACCCAGCAACACTTAAGCTCATTCCTTTTGAGCTCAAAGAATCTGAATCTGCTCTCTAGAGAGAGAGAACCGAAATTAGAGAGAGAGAAAGGCCAATCTTGAAGAATTTGGAAGGAACTTAGTGATCTTGAAGCTACACTCAAGAATTGAGCATAAATTGGAAGATTTGAGCCTTTAGGTGAGTAATCAACCCTTAATTCATGAGTTTGAATTGTGATTTTGTGAATTGAAGATTAAATGGTGAGTTAGATAATGAATTGAGTTGATTAAGTTGAGATTGAAGTCCATGTGTGCATGCATGTAGAGAATCCCTATGAAATTACATAATCTAGCATGTAATATGTGAATTATGAAAGATTGTGGGTTGAATCATACATGCAAGCATGGTTTTAGTTAAGTTTCATGAGAATGAATACCATTTGCACCATATTATTGACATGCATGTTTGATTATTGGAGATATGGAGCTCATATGAGATTTGAGTGCATGAGCCTTGATTATACCAAGAAATGTTGATTTATTTTGAAGAATTGGACCATGATTTTGAGCAATTGACCTCATCTTGCTTGTATACTCATGATATATAATGTATTTGCATGTTTTGGAACCAAAATTATGAGTTTTGAACCTTTGGAGGTCGAGTTTGAGCTTAAGAACAAGTTCTGGAAAACCCAGAATTCTTGACGTCCGCTTGAGCGGGGGAACCACCGCTCGAGCGTAAAATACGAGCTCCCAGAATATTTTGCAGACATGATGTCCACTCGAGCGGGGAAGTTCACGCTCGAGCAGGGAGCTATGTAGAATGACCTTCAGCTCGAGCGTCCGAGTTAACGCTTGAGCATAAAAATGAGGCAACCAGTACTTTTGCAGACCTAATGGGTCCACTCGAGCGGGAAAGTCCACGCTCGAGCGGGGACCTCTGTTTCAAAAATTTTGTAAAAATGTTCTGTGTTTCATTTTCCGTTCTCTTTCACTTCTAAGTACTCTTAGGCATGCATTGAGCATTATGAATGAATTAAAAGAATAAGAAAGAAGCCTAAAGAGGAATATGTGAATTAAGAACGAATTGGATTGTTTGTGACCCATTGCGTTCATGGAATGTGTAGGGTCGAGCTCCAGGGCAAATCATCCAACCGATCACTGTGAGTAATATCTTAATGAAGATATTTTGAGATATGTTGTTTGTTCAACTGCTTATTTCTCTATAAGTCTTATGAGTTTGTTGAGTTGAATTGTGGACAAATGGTTGCTATGCCGTATGGTTGGGCCTAAGGCCGTTTGCTATAAATGAGTGGGCCGGAGGCTGTCTGACATGAATGATAGTCTGACTCGAATAATAGTCTGATATGAATGAATGGGCTAGAGGCCATATGACCCGAATGAATGGGCCAAATGCCAGTTTGACATGAATGAAAGAATGAATGGGCTAAAGGCCAGTTTGACATGAAGGAAAGAATGATTGGGCTCAAGGCCAGTTTGACATGAATGAAAGAATGAATGGGCCAAAGGCTAGTTTGACATGAATGGAAGAATGAATGGGCCAAAGGCCGTTTGACATGAATGATACGAATGAATGGGTCAAAGGCCGTATGACATGTATGACACGAATGAATTGGGCCCGAGGCCGTATGATGTGTTTGGAACCGCAGTCACTTGACCTATATTTATATATATATGCTAGATAGAAATACGAATTGGGCCCAAGGCCGTTTGAAGCACGTTGTTCTAAATATCGTTTGAGTAACTTCTTTATTTGATATTATTCACTGGGTTTTCGCTCACGCTCATTCATGTGTTTGTAGGTGAGCCAAGAGAGGTCCAAACCCAGCCTCAGTGAAGTTTTTATGGAACAACCAAGGTTTTGAAGAGTCAGCCCATACGTCTCATGCACGAGACTCGTCTTCGCCCTTTTGCTATTTTATTACATTTTGTCACGTTGGCGAGGACTTTGGATTATGATTGTATATAATTTTGATTGGCTGACCTAGACTTGAATGATCCTGTATGTACAGAGCTTTGTGTTAGTACATATTTTGATGTGAGTTATTAACATGTATATGTATGGTTTGTTATGATGTGCCATATAAGCACAAATCTATGGACAAAAGTTTGAATTTGCTTCCGTTTGGCCCCTTTACTCTGATGCGTTATGTTTTATTTGGTTTGAGACCGTAAGTAATCTCGTGATTACTGGCCGGTTATGTTCTTAACCTATGGGGGCGGGTTTGGGTCATGACAACCTTGGTGACGAAGAATTTCGAGAGTGGAGGGAAAGGATAAAAGTCCTAACTTGACTATGCCCCTAGTTCTTTGTTTTGACTTTTTCTTCTTGGTTCTTTGCTGAACTGATTTTGATTAGCACGAGAGTTAAATTAGCATGCTTGTTCCACCCTGTATTTTGAAATCATATAAGTCAAGCTATGAGCACTGCAAATTTCCCTTTTTGGTCCAAAGAATGGTCTAAGTTTTGTAAAAATGGAATAATTTTTGAGAAAATCAGTCAACTTCATTAAAAGTCTTCAAAATCTATTTTCACAAATGGCCATTACCCGCTCAACTTGAAATCAACCCTTGAAATGCACAAACTCAAATTAGATAACCCGAGCAGGATATACTATATTACCACTGAATCTGTCTTGCAACGGAACCCGTCATGAAGAAGGAATAGGACAACTGAATCAAATGGAGATGAGCCAATCAAACATGGATAGGACAACCAAGTCGAATAAAGATACACCAATCAAGCATGGACGAGATGAGTGAGTTAAAAATGGTTAGGGTCAAACTTCAAAATGAAGCTGTCTACCTATCCCAAAGACAGGAATCGGGCCTTACGTAGTTCAAGGCTAAGGTTCACTCGGGTTTTAACACTCTCATTTTGTGCTCTAACTTTTGCTAAAGTCGCTCTTTCGCATTTTCGACCTTGCGAGCTCTGTTTTCTTTATTTCTAATTTTTCATGCTCTAACTTTTGCATTTTTTTTTTTTTTTTTTTTAATGTTTTCATTTTTTCATCAATTTTTTATTTTTATTTTTATTTATATATATATGCTCTAACTATTGTCTGGGTTGCTCTTTCGGGTTTTCGGTCTAGCGAGCCTATCAAGAATAGTACTTCTTTAATTTGTCCATGTTGATTGGCTATGAGAACTCCAAACCATCTAAATCCATGAGAATGAATGCTGTAGACACCCCATTTTGATCGACTCTAAGACTTGGCAACTTTCTTTTAATTATCCAATGATGAAAATAAGAATGTGTTTCTTACAACGTCCTCACTAAGAAAGATAGAATTTGTGCTTCATTCCTAACCCCAAGTCGGTTTTGGCCAAGTGCTTAAGTCCTGTTCAAAACTTTCTTTCGAAACTTTATTTTCTCGTTTTGTTCCGAGTATTTCCTTAGTGCTCCGAGGCTCATTTTTAAGCTTCAAAATAAAAAATTTTCTCAGGAAATTGAGCAAAGAACAGTGTGGAAATAGGAGCAAAGAATGATAATTATGTTGAAAAATCCTGTTTTGTGCAAAATAGTCAAGCCACAACCAACATTTTGGCCGGTCGGCCAGCCAAGAAATTGGCCAACTTGCCAAGTTTTTGGCCGGCCAGCCAATTTTCTAGAAACAAGGCAGTTTCAACACAATTCTTGTCTAATGTATGTGGGACATGCCATTTCAGATATTTCTGACATATTCACACACGAGATGTATACCTACTCACCCTCCGTTGTCCTCTATTGGCCTCCATTGTCAAAAGAGAATTTGTCTCTTCCCAAAACAAAGGCATCCAATGCAATCATCGTTGTCACCCGATCATCCTTGTCTTCTCTCACCTGCTCCATTGAGTCTTGTATACTGTGTATCTAGTCATCTTTCATTGTTAATAGAGTTGCCCTCTTTAACAAAGTCCTTGATCTTTGTCACCTTATGGCCTTTGTTTTCAACCTTGTCCCTCACCACATACACCTCGAAGCCATCATTCAAGCAAGAATTCCAAGCTTTCAAATTGAGGATTGAAAACATAATTCATACACTCGAGGGTGATCCAAAAGAAGTTTGGAAATCATGAAGTTCATCCATTCTTGAAAAGGTGAATTTTCAATTTATTTCATTTTCTTGCATCTCTTACTTATTTTGCTCTTTTGCTTTGATTTCTTATTATATTATATATTGTTGTAATCTAATTGAAAGTGGTGAGTTGA